TGGCCTCAGAGGACGCCGGGGGATCCGTCTCTACACCCGTGTCGCTCAGGGACTCATACCTGTTTTGGATTTTGATGTTGTCTTGTTGGATTGTAGTAGACGTTTTCCTTGCGACTCTCCTGGGGATCACAAATTCATCTCTGTTTGTGGTGGTGTTAGGGGAAGGAATACGAAGGGGGGAAAATTTTCCTTCTTCTCGGGCGATTTCATTAAGGCAGCTAGCTCCTCCAGCTTCGAGATTTCCTTCTTGGCTTCTGGTAGGTACCGGTCCCTGTAATAGTTCCTCACCGCCTCCATTTGGCTTTTCCTCATCAATGTTAGTGGAAAATCTTTGAGTACAGGATCATATTCTATTTTCGCATTGCAATAGGTGTTCACCATGCTGTTAATTTTATCAAGAGTGTTCCTTTTAATTGCATTGATTTTCTCCTGAATCTCGTTGTACTTTTTGTAAGGATTTTCTTCTGCATAAGGGAGGTAAGGGAAAGAAGAAAAAAACATTTTCAAGAGCTAAATATAAGAGCTTAATAAATATTCTACAAGGACGTTTTTCTCCAGGTGAAAGAGTTTTCAAAAAGTATGTTTTGAGTGTACCGAGCTGAACTACGAAGCAATAAGCAGCTGTAGTTTGCTGAGTACCTACTTACTTTTGACATTCAATGCTCATATCACACCTTCTATAGTCATGCTATACCTATAATATCCAATTTAGTCGGGAAGAAATGGAAAAACTTCAATTAAAGCTCAATAAAATTATGATTGAATTATTGCAGGTAACTTATGAATTCAAGTTGAATTTATGTTTTGAAATCATTTTTTTAAAATGTCAAGAAGAAATGTTTTTTTGCAAAATATTACTATTAGTGAAGTGGAAAATAATCAAATTTCGGTTTTGGGTTTCCAACGATAGAAACTGAGAAAGATTACGAAAAATCATGCAAACATAAAATCATGTAGAAGTGGAATGCAGATATTTTACAATTTTTTTATAATTCATAATGTAGTAAAATACAGATTTTCAATATTTTCATAACTATTTTTCTTACCTATTTGTGGTTAACGTTGGGATCAGTTAGTATTACAAGATATTAATAAAAGAGGAGTCGATTTCAAAGAAATAGTTTTGGTGAATTTGCAGGTCGCCAATATATATGCTTTATTATTGGCCTCTTAAGGTTTTTTATTATCTTTGCACTGAATAGCACTGATCCAGAGTGTGACGGAATTTGCCGAGCTTCCTGTTCTGGAGCCGGCTGCTGGCCACATTAAATGTATATACTAAGGCCATGATTGTACAACCAACATAGGGCCAGTGTTTCTCAGAATGTCAATTTTTCAATGGCCTAAAGGTTCATTTACATCTGCGAGAAATTGCGCGAGTTTTCTGTCTGACAGTCAAACTTGCAAGTGTAAACAGATCTGCAACCAATGTCGCGACAGCTGTCGCAAGGAGTGTCGCGAGCTGGCCGGCATAGTGTCCGACACTTTAACTTGCAAGTCTAAACACGAAGCTCAGCCTTAGCAATTTCTCGCGCTCGCAGTGTCGCCCGATCAAACCGTGGGAGATATTTCCCGACAGTTGTCTGCAAGTTAACGTGGTGAGTGGTTGTATCTGCCGAGTCTCAACATGGTTTGTTGTGCATTGATGTTGTGTTTTGGCTTATAAATAGTCGTAGTAGTGTGTTGCTGTCAATGGAAGAAGACGAGATGGAACTGCCTCCTAAAATTGATGAAACTAAGAAATGGTCAGACTTGGAGACAAAA